GTTTTGTATCGGCTGAAATGTTTCTTGATGTGTCTACTGTAATAAATGTTCATTCCTTAGCCTGAGGTGGTTATTGTTAGAGTTGATATTACGTTTCATGGCCATCTCCATTGTAAAATCTGCGGTTACATTTCTAAGTGTGTCTAGTGTATCATCTGCTGTTATTGTTTCCATGTGTCTACTGAGATATCTTCTGTTATTTTTTTTCGTGGTTTATATGTTGTAATGTTTGGTGTTAATTCTGCTGCTAAATCTAACCCAAACCAGGCCAGACACGTTGTGGACAGAAAGAAGCCCATGAGATAATTCAAAGTTTACTTCAGGCAATGGAAGTACATAAATCAAACCAGCGCCTTCAGTTTAAAGCGATATATGGACATAATAATGCTCTAGGATTAGGATTAAAACAATTCAGCTTTGTAGTTTTGTGAATCATTAACATGTAAATAGATTTGAAAATAGTCATTTCATTGTCAGGGTGAATAACTCTGGTGTATCTAAATAATAAAACCCAATTGCAAATAAGGGGCGCTATAAATCTTTGCTGTTGATCACATCCTTCCGTCTTTGGGACGATGGTGTACTGTCTGTTTTGTGGACACTTTCTCCAGTGGCTCGTGATCACATCCTTCCGTCTTTGGGACGATGGTGTACTGTCTGTTTTGTGGACACTTTCTCCAGTGGCTCGTGATCACATCCTTCCGTCTTTGGGACGATGGTGTACTGTCTGTTTTGTGGACACTTTCTCCAGTGGCTCGTGATCACATCCTTCCGTCTTTGGGACGATGGTGTACTGTCTGTTTTGTGGACACTTTCTCCAGTGGCTCGTGATCACATCCTTCCGTCTTGGGGACGATGGTGTACTGTCTGTTTTGTGGACACTTTCTTCAGTGGCTCGTGATCACATCCTTCCATCTTTGGGACGATGGTGTACTGTCTGTTTTGTGGACACTTTCTCCAGTGGCTCGTGATCACATCCTTCCGTCTTGGGGACGATAGTGTTCTGTCGGTTTTGTGGACACTTTTTCTGGTGGCTCGTGACGCAGATCCTGAAGTGGTGGTCTAAGCATCTCTTTTTGCAGAAGAACTTTGACTTCAAGAGTACTTCGGCCTGGTTGGCCTTCCGTAAAGCTCTTTTTGCTGCAAGTACTTCGTTTTGCGCTATCATATATTTAAGTTTAGTAAAAATAATCACGCTATAATCCTACGTAGAACAAATGTTGACGAAGAAAGAGGATTTGTTGCTTCCTTTCATTGACACCATTGCTCATTGAATCATGAACGAAGTTTAGATATTTTGCATTTATTTCAGAGAGCTACGACACAGAAGAGAGTCAAGACAAAAGCTGAAGTTTTCCAGGAAATTACTGCAAATATTGTCAGGTATTAATAAATGAAGTTTACAAAATATCAACAGGAATTTTTAAGTATAAACTATTATCAGCAATGTCTAAATATAAATTATTATCAGCAATGTCTAAATATCTACTATGATCAGACATGTCTAAACATAAACTATTATCAGCAATGTCTAAATATCCACTATTATCAGACATGTCTAAATATCAACTATTATCAGAAATGTCTGAATATCAACTATTGTCAGGGATGTTCACATACATAATTTTTTGACTATTTAATTTGACGTCTTTTGAAACAAATTGTGAATTTATAAAAACTTTATTACAAAATAAATGAAATAAACTCAAACTTTTATTTAAATCTAAGGATAATAAATGAAGGACTGCGTTCAATCCGTGGGAGGAAGGCTCTTAGTATATATTATGCTCCTGTTATTTGATTCAAGCTTCCACATACCTTGTCCATCTATTAGCTTCAAATCTAAGCTTCCACATACCTTGTCCATCTATTAGCTTCAAATCTAAGCTTCCACATACCTTGTCCATCTATTAGCTTCAAATCTAAGCTTCCACATACCTTGTCCATCTATTAGCTTCAAATCTAAGCTTCCACATACCTTGTCCATCTATTAGCTTCAAATCTAAGCTTCCACATACCTTGTCCATCTATTAGCTTCAAATCTAAGCTTCCACATACCTTGTCCATCTATTAGCTTCAAATCTAAGCTTCCACATACCTTGTCCAACTATTTCCTTAAAATCTAAGCTTCCACATACCTTGTCCAACTATTGTCTTCAAATCTAAGCTTCCACATACCTTGTCCCACTATTTCCTTCAAATCTAAGCTTCCACATACCTAGTCCAACTATTTCCTTCAAATCTAAGCTTCCACATACCTTGTCCAACTATTGTCTTCAAATCTAAGCTTCCACATACCTTGTCCAACTATTTCCTTCAAATCTAAGCTTCCACATACCTTGTCCCACTATTTCCTTCAAATCTAAGCTTCCACATACCTTGTCCCACTATTTCCTTCAAATCTAAGCTTCCACATACCTTGTCCAACTATTTCCTTCAAATCTAAGCTTCCACATACCTTGTCCAACTATTGTCTTCAAATCTAAGCTTCCACATACCTTGTCCCACTATTTCCTTCAAATCTGAGCTTCCACATACCTTGTCCAACTATTGTCTTCAAATCTAAGCTTCCACATACCTTGTCCCACTATTTCCTTCAAATCTAAGCTTCCACATACCTTGTCCAACTATTGTCTTCAAATCTAAGCTTCCACATACCTTGTCCCACTATTTCCTTCAAATCTAAGCTTCCACATACCTTGTCCCACTTTTTCCTTCAAATCTAAGCTTCCCCATACCTAGTCCAACTATTTCCTTCAAATCTAAACTTCCACATACCTAGTCCAACTATTTCCTTCAAATCTAAGCTTGTGTCAGAGTCTTGCATGGTGTTCTGAACGTTAGCAATAAAATCTTCATTGTACACCAGGTTTCCGTTTACCCTCTAAGTCTTTCGTAGGTCCGCTATTGAAAAATATATTGCTGGACATTAAGACCTTCGGTCACCTCGTCATCAGCGGTCACGTTCTTTAGGAAGTCGTAGCACCTTTAAAGTACCAAGTAATCCATTATTATTGCTTCAGTAAGTACGCTTACATCAAATTTGTTGAAACCCATATTATTTGAGAATGTTTCCTCCAAACTCTAATCCTGCTTTATCCAGAGAATGTTTCCTCCAATCCTGTTTTATCCCGAGTCCACATATCAGGCTTCGTTACAAGTGATTATATTTCCCAAACATCGGTTGACAAAACTCCTGCAAGACGTCTGCCTGTCACCTCAGCTGACGAGTTCGATATTGATTCTGGTTCGATATCCAGTTTCGTGTTGCAGTTTCCTCGGCCACTTTCCCATATGTACTCTTCCGCCATCGATGGAGTGTTTACCCAGCGGAACTACTTTTCCCTCCCAATTCCATTTCCGGACCGGAAGTATTGCTGCCTCTCGTTTATGAAGATTACAGAAAGTGAGAGGGTTGGGGTCCCCAGGGGTTGTTCGGCTCTAAGACGCCACGACGCGAGACACTTAATTAATCAGGACTTGCACACTAGCTCTGACGTCTGTATTGTGCCAAAGAAATCCTGGACGATTTTAAGTCCAATAAAAATGTGTACTGATATTGCTCTAGTGTTTTTAGACCCTCGGGGATAGAGAAACATTGATGAATATTTTACTGATTTGTCCGTGGGTTAGTCTGGGTTTATTTGTTAACATGGTGGGGGACTGAACTCTCGAGACAGCCCTTAGGAAATCAGAATTGTCTTCCATTCTAATTTTTTTTAAATGTTGATGCTTTTTCTTGGATCAGCGCATGCGAAGCCGTGACGCAAGTGAGCAGGTTAAATGTTTTCATTGTTTCAAAGAAACCAAGCAAGTTATATGATAAATAATTAATTAATTTTTTGTTACATTTTAATCTAAACTCCAGTGAATGTTTACACGTTGATTTCTGGTAGACTTTGATACAGCTGATAAAAAAGAGATTGCCAGTTGGTAAGGAAAAGCTAGTACTCGGAAATGAATTGCTGAATGACGCGTATAGTCACCCGAAATGTGAAAAAGTCTGGTGTGAACCTTGTGTAATTCATTCGATTTTGAGCACTTGAAAGATCTTTTATAACAGAGAATTGTTTTTTTGTTTCAGCTATCACCGACAGCTGCAGTCGGCGTCGGAGACGGCAGAGAACTCAGAGGCCGAGATCGATTTCGAGGCCGCCTCTGGGGACGCCCACGACGATACCATTGACCGATGCGTCATGGGCGTTAACAACGCCGCTTACGCTGCGGACAACTCTGATCTGACCTTGGATCGATCCCACTGGCGTCGAGCATCGACCTCCAGCACCGATGGCTGTGATGACGTTGCTGGCAGCGCGGTTCTCGAGAGAACTCCACGATCTGGGGCTGAGAGTAACGGAATCCGGAAACTGTCGTCGAGATCGTTAGGTCATCACGAGATTCCCACTGTCGATCAGCGGTTAAGAAAAAAATCTGATTCTTACTTTTTATACCCACCGTGCCGGCATGACACGGAGTCATACTTCCTTGGCTACAGTAATGGGTCTGTGGCGTCAAGATTTCCGGATAAGCTTGCCACATACACGGAAGATTTGATCACCGTCCGTAAAATATTAGATGAGTTGCCACCTGAAAGAAGTGTTAAGCCAAAGAAAGTGGACAACATTCCGCCCAGCGATGGTGATGTTAACCATTTAGAAAACTCAGAATGCACAAACAGTGAAAACCATCCAGACTCTACGTCACTTCCTCCAAGTCGGGGCAGCGAGTACTACAACTCACCAACATCGTCATCGGTCCAGTCTCCCATCGAGGAGAAACGTGAGTTCTCGCCCCTACCATCTCCGACGTCTCCCAGCAATGAAAGCTTCCCGAGATGTAACGAATCTTCGGGCAGTCTCTCGACGTTCTCCCCCGACAGCAGCATATCCCTGGGGCCTCTGGCGCAAGAGTCTCCACACAACGAATCTCGTGACTTCATCGTCTACGTTACAAACCTTTCCCCACACAATCCTTCATCCGCCACCGCGAACTCTCTGGAGCCCGTTACTTGGCACACGCCAAACACTCTTTCCAGGGACGTTGAGTCCACCAAGAAACCAGATCCAACAAACTCCGGTCAGAAAACACAAATTCCGCGGTCAGCATCCTCTGACTCCGTCCCTCGAAAACTCCTCCAAAACAATAACCATTCATTACCGCACTCCTCCGTGCCGATAGACAGGGAAAGGAACGGCCCGTTTGTTGACGTCAACCCTGGTGACGTCAAAGACCGAACAAGGTCGAAGCAGTCGATGAAAGTGTTACGGAAGACGTCAGACGTGGGCGGGCTGAACGGTGATGACCACCTGACCAACAACACCAGGGCAAAGTATGACATGCCAAGAAAAGATTATTTCCAGAGGAACTTAAAACTAAAGGTGATTAAACTTTCTTGAGAATGTGGGACTGGAGAGTTTCTGTGAATATAGGTCAATAACTGGGTTGCTAGGTCAAGTTGGTGAGGGGACAAGGTCAATAATTGGTTGGCTAGGTCAAGTTGGTTAGGGGACAAAATCAATAACTGGGTTGCTAGGTCAAGTAGGTGAGCGGACAAGGTCAATAATTGTGTTGCTAGGTCAGGTTGGTGAGGAGAGAGGGTCAAGAATTAAATGGCTAGGTCACGTAGGTGAGATGGCAAGAAAAATAATTTGGTGGATTACCCTAATGGCCTATTAGTTGGATTATGGATAGATAATGGACAATGGGCTGATGGGGTTTAATCAGGTCTTTCTCTCTGAATCTCTCTCTCTTCTCTCTATCTCTTCTCTCTCTATTTCTTTATGTATCTCCTTTTTTCCTATCTCTATTTATTTATCTCTATTTTCCCTATATATCTTTCCATCTATCTTTTTATTTACCCTCTATTTCTAGAATATTTCAAAGTGATGCTATCCTTGTATCCTAAGCAAATCCAAAGATGTTTGCTTAGTGTGATTCTTATAGAACCAAACATATTTTTAAAATTCCAGTTAAGACACACAACTTTACTCGCTAGTACACACCATAATACCAGTGAACACATACTAATTTACTTGCTAGTACACACCATGATACCAGTTAAGACACACAACTTTACTGTCTAGTACACACCATAATACCAGTTAAGACACACAACTTTACTCGCTAGTACACACCATAATACCAGTGAACACATACTAATTTACTTGCTAGTACACACCATGATACCAGTTAAGACACACAACTTTACTGTCTAGTACACACCATAATACCAGTTAAGACACACAACTTTACTCGCTAGTACACACCATAATACCAGTGAACACATACTAATTTACTTGCTAGTACACACCATGATACCAGTTAAGACACACAACTTTACTTGCTAGAACACACCATAATACCAGTTAAGATACACAAATTTACTTGCTAGTAAACACCATGATACCAGTTAAGATATACAACTTTACTCGCTACTACACACCATGCTACCAGTTAAGACATACTAATTTACTTGCTAGTAAACACCATAATACCAGTTAAGACATACAACTTTACTCGCTAGTACACACCATAATACCATTTAAGACATACAACTTTACTCGCTACTACACACCATGCTACCAGTTAAGACATACTAATTTACTTGCTAGTACACACCATGCTACCAGTTAAGACATACTAATTTACTTGCTAGTACACACCATGACACCTGTTAAGACACACAATTTTACTCGCTAGTACACCATGATACCAGTTAAGACCCACTACTTTACTGGTTTGTACTCACCATGATACCAGTTAAGTCACACTACTTTACTCGCTAGTACACACCATGATACGAGTTAAGACATACTAATTTACTTGCTAGTACACACCGTAATACCAGTTAAGACACATTACTTTACTCGCTAGTACACACCATAATACCATTTAAGACACACAATTTTACTCGCTAGTACACACCATGCTACCAGTTAAGACACACAAATGTACTGGCTAGTACACACCATGACACCAGTTAAGACCCACTACTTTACTGTCTAGTACACACCATGACACCAGTTAAGACACACTACTTTACTGTCTAGTACACACCATGACACCAGTTAAGACACACAACTTTACTCGCTAGTACACCATGATACCAGTTAAGACCCACTACTTTACTGGCTTGTACACACCATGACACCAGTTAAGACACACTACTTTACTCGCTAGTACACACCATAATACCAGTTAAGACACAATTTTACTCGCTAGTACATACCATAATACCAGTTAAGACACACTATGATACCAGTTAAGACACGGCATGATACAAGTTAAGACACACCATGATACCAGTTAAGACACACCATGACACCAGTTAAGATACACCATGATACCAGTTAAGACACACAATTTTTTTCGCTAGTAAACAACCATGATACAAGTTAAGACACACGATGATACCAGTTAAGAAACACTATAATACCAGTTAAGACACACCATGATACCAGTTAAGACACACCATGATACCAGTTAAGACACACCATGATGCCAGTTAGGACACACCATGACACCAGTTAAGACACACCATGATGCAGTTAAGACACACCATGATACCAGTTGAGACACACCATGATACCAGTTAAGACACACCATGATACCAGTTAAGACACACCATGATACCAGTTAAGACACACCATGATACCAGTTAAGACACACCATGATACCAGTTAAGACACACCATGATACCAGTTAAGACACACCATGATACCAGTTAAGACACACCATGATACCAGTTAAGACACACCATGATACCAGTTAAGACACACCATGATACCAGTTAAGACACACTATGATACCAGTTAAGACACACAATATGATACCAGTAAAGACACACCATGAGACCAGTTAAGACACACCATTATGCCAGTTAAGACACACCATTGATACCAGTCAAGACACACTATGATACCAGTTAAGACACACCATAATACCAGTTAAGACACACCATGATACCAGTTAAGATACACCATGAGACAAGTTAAGACACACCGTGATACCAGTTAAGACACACCATGATACCAGTTAAGACACACTATGATACCAGTTAAGACACACCATGATACCAGTTAAAACACACCATGATACCAGTTAAGACACACCATGACACCAGTTAAGACACACCATGATACCAGTTAAGACACACTAAGACACACTCACTAAGGCACACTAACTAAGACACACTAACTTAGACACACTAAGACACACTGACTAAGACACAATAACTATGTAATCGTGATCCTCGACAGGACAACCGCGTCAAGTCTACGTTGAGACGGCACGCCATGTCAGGTTATCAAAGTCATCTTCCAGCTGACTTCATTGATGACTGCACGCTGGAGGCTCTGACCAAGGAGGACGTTCTCATCTTGTGGAGGAAGTCTGAGCTGGACCTGGAGAGTCGACTTCATGAGGTCATCTTTTTTTTTAAGTGGACAATTTTTTTTAGTATTATTATTATTGTGGGGGTGGGGGGTCCTGTTGTAAAGATTATTATGGGAGAGGTTACAATCAAGTTGTTAAATAATCTAAGAAGTCATCAACATAGTCTTCTTGTAGATTAGTTAGCTTCTTGGGGAGGATTCAACTCCGTGTAAGGTGTTTAGCTATAGGCTTCCAACTTCAAAACAGGGCTACCACACCTTGGGAAATTTCCCAAGATCTTGGGAATTCACGACCCCCTTGGGATCTGGGGAATAATTTTGAAAATCAGGCAAAACCTTGGGAAATCTTAACCGGGAGGGAAATTTTTTTATATTTTTCGAAAAACTCAACAATATCTGATAAAAAAATAAAGTGAAAATAAAGCAAAATAATTTTTAAAGTAAAAAGGCAAAAAATTAATTGTTTTAATTTTCTTTTCTGGTTTTAATTTTTAAATCCAATCATAAAATAAATAAAAACTCTTCTGATATTAGAGTTAATATTGTGAATTATTAAAAAGTTAATAATTAAAAAAAAATTAAATGTTCTCTTTTTTAAAAAAAAATTGAAGATTTACAAATTACATCCAGGTTTTGAATGTTTATTAAATGGGGGGGGGGGGGTGAGGGGTAGGTTCGGAAATTTTATATTTTTGCTCTTGGGCATTGGCAACAATACAAAAACAGTAAAAGCCAAAGAGTGAACGATAGTGTTAAATCAAGAAAGGTGAGGGGTAGGCTCGGAAACTTTATCATTATGCTCTTAGACATTAGCAACAATACAAAAACAGTACAAGCCAAAGAGTGAACGATAGTGTTCAATCAAGAATCCATGCCATAGTAAAATTTGATTGTTTCAATTACTTCTACAATGTGTTCAAAATATAATGCATCTGTAAAAAAATCCAGCCTAATTTTGATCAATTAGAAAAAAAATATTTGTGGATTGAAACACACAGGTAACTAAAATATTAAAAGTATAGGCCTACGTTGTAGGATTATAAATGAACAATTCCTTTAAAAGTTTTTTTTTTATTTGAAAAAATCTTTATAAAGTAAATTTACAAGAAAAAAATACTTATTGTTTTCATCATAATATTAATATCAATCCATTTTAACTACAATTATTATTAATAATTTTTGCTTAATTGCTTTGCAAACGTCACTTCTAATCAAAAGATTTACAATAATAAAAATCATTTTTTGATGAAGAACCTCTTGCCTTTGTAAAAGGAATTCTATGTTGATTAGCCTTGTAAGCTCTTTTTCCAAGTGACTTCTATTACACATGTATTGTAGATGATATTTTTACCAGAGAATTCGGAGGTAATATTTAGTAGCCTCACTCCAGTGGGTATTGATATTTTGGATTATAAGTTATTTTTTTTAAACAAATTATTTTGTTTTTTTTATGTGATAAACATTTTTTAAATGACCTTTTCAATAAATTTCAGTCAATTAATGTACCATGTTTTTCAGGGGCATAGATTCAATCTATTATTACATTAACTACATAGAAAACCCCCCTTTTAAAAAAAACTCTTATATGTTTTTATGATCTTGGGAAATCTTGGGAAATTTGCTCACCAAATCTTGGGAAATTTTAAAAAAGTGAGTGGCAGCCCTGCTTCAAAAGTGTGTTGCACTGCATGGACATTCTTGACTATATTTTCACCTCAGTTTGATTCGGGTTTTCCCAACCTGGCGTGCACACGCACGCCCCAGGTGGTGCGAGGTAGAATTTCAAGGGGTGGAGGGGGGAAATTGGTTATAACAACAAAGACGCCATGGACTTTTTAGGGGGATTTAATTGTTTTTTTCTCCTTGATAAATATATTGCATTATGAAATAAGTGGAATGTTTATTTTCTTAGTTCTACAGTTTTATAAGTAACTTTATTTTTGAAAATTAAGTGGTTTTTTTTTTTTTTAAATTGAAAAGGTATTGTTACTTTTGATGTGGGTGCAAGACTAATTAACCCAGGGTCGTAGCTAAAATGGGGAGGGTCAGGGGGCAGATGTTCCTGGGCGCCAGAATAGTTAGGGGCGCCAAAATGTGCTTTGATACTATTTTATTGATGAAAATAATGGGTTTGAGAGTTGACAAAAGAAAGGGAGGTGCCAAACACTGAATTAACCCACTTCGTGGTTAGTGCAGAATGAGAAAAAAGTTTGAAAACCCCAGCGTAGAGTTTTTTCCAAAAAAAAAACAAAAATAAAATTAACCAAGGTAAGTAACCAAATTTTAGTTGAAAGATATTTATTCCACAACAAAAAACAGGTTGCTATTTTTTAATTACCGCCATTATTAGATCAAACGATTCAATGCAAAATTCGAATTATGCAAATTATGACGGTTGGTGGCGTTTTCAAACGCGTCTCTTTACATTTAGTATTTACAACCGAGAAACGGAGTCAATTAATTTCTGTTTTACAGTTTTACATGTAAACAATAAACGCTTGTCTTTTCATGTACATGCTGAGATAAATCGTGAGCGTACTGACACTAAATCATTGTTTGCTCCCCTCACATTACGACAACCTCGTATCTGTAGTAAAAATTAAAAACGGTTGCAGTTCTTCCCCTTTTCTCTTTATTTTTGGGGTATTTTTTATCACTTTAATTACTTTAAAAGTGTGTCATTTTTTTTATTTTTACTTTATATTAATTTATTTGGGTGAAATTGTTCAAAATTAATTTTTTTAAACACTAGCCGAAACACAAAATTCAAATAAAATGTTAGATTACGTTTTGATGTATTATCTAAAAGTCTCTTAATTATTTATTTCAGGTTTTGGCAAAAAACCGACGACTGAGCCTCGCTATCGATTACTTGACGAGACAAGAATTTTCAGGTGAACCCGATGAAGTCTGAAATGTTCATAGCAGACGTGTGATCTTCTCTGTGCACCTATCCATCCAATTCACATAGAGCTCTGTCAGAGAGAAAGAGAGTTCCAATTCACATAGAGCTCTGTCAGAGAGAGAGAGAGAGAGAGAGAGAGAGAGATCCACTTCACCTACAGCTCTGTCAGAGAGAGAGAGAGAGATCCAATTCAGATACAGCTCTGTCAGAGAGAGAGAGATCCAATTCAGATACAGCTCTGTCAGAGAGAGAGAGAGATCCAATTCAGATACAGCTCTGTCAGAGAGAGAGAGATCCAATTCACATACAGCTCTGTCAGAGATATATGTATTCAAAGAGATGGAGGGACATGGCTCGCATTTTTTTTTTTTTTTTTTTTTTTTTTTTTTTTTTTTATTTTTTTTTGTATCAAATATTTTATGAAATGAATTCTCACAATTTTGTTGAAGAGATGACATGATTGTTCTCTCCTACAATTGTTCCAGGAATGGATTCACTGTTCCCTCACACAATTGCTAGGTAGGTGGACTGTTTCTTGCACAATTGACAGAGATGGGTTGACTGTTCCCACACAAAACTGTTACAGAGATGGATGGACTGTTCCCTCGTACAATTGCTACAGAGTTGGCTTGACTGTTCCCACGCACAACTGTTACAGAGATGGATGGACTGTTCCCTCACACAATTGTTACAGAAATGGATGGACTGTTCCCTCGTACAATTGCTACAGAGTTGGCTGGGCTGTTCCCTTGCACATATTTCGTTTACTGCGTGTTTCGTATTTGATCCGTCCCACTCGACATTTTTGTCGAACATACATTTCTTATGACACGGCACAGCATCACGTGACACTTTGTTTACTGTTGGTGTCAACTGACGTGATATTTTAGCTAATGGACAAAATATACTGAGAATACCCTCATGAATAAACCTTTTTGGGTTTTCCATATAAGTTAATTTATCGCAAATGTTAACCTTATATATATGTATTTTTAATTTACCTTTTATATGTATATGTCATTTTTATGTGGATTGAAATTTCACGTCAATTAATTTCTGATATTCCTTAAGTACAGCTCGCCATGCTCTAAGCCAGGGGTCGGGAACCTATGGCTCGTGAGCCAGATAAGGCTCTATTGATGGCTGCATCTGGCTCGCAGACAAATGTTCGATTATAAAAAAAAAGTTGCATTAATGGTAAGAAATACTCATTATTGATTAGCAACTGCATAACAATGTTATTAAAAAGAATTCAGAGACATAATTGTTGCATTTTTGGTGTTGAAATTACACAAAATGCACACATTTACTTGAATTTTTAATTTTAAACATAATGTATGCCTCTCACAGAAATTTTAAAAATATGTGGTGTCCATGGCTCTCTCAGACAAAAAGGTTCCCGACCCCTGCTCTAAGCAGACATATTTTTTCAAGCCAGTCATTATTTTTTTTACACCTTACAATATCTGTTGTGTAAGAAGAGATGAAGAAAAGGTCAATTTGAGTTCAACTCTTTAAAGGTACACGACATCTTCCGAATGAGGTGGCTGAGTGTTTTTAATCCCGGTTTCCCCACCTTAGCAAGCACAGCTGCCTTCCTGGCAAACCAGTCCATTCCGGACGGCGATTAATGCAAAGCTGCCAGTATGCCAAGATGGCCGTCTAATAAAGGTCTCAATTTATTTTAATTTTTTAATTGCTGTTAATTTATGAGATAACGGATATATAATGCAATTTGATGAGGGCAAGTAAATGAGTGTATTTGGTTTACCAGTGCCCGAGGTGATGCAACTGTATTAAAGTAGCGGAATAAACATTGTTTGAATCTTAATACAATTTAATATATTTTATTCACTTGAGCTTTGTGATACACTAAGATTGGATCAGTTGGCCTTTGTGATATACAAAGATTGGATCACTTGAGCTTTGTGATATAAAAAGACTGGACATGGCGGTCCTAAAAAAATATTCAGATTGTAATTGAGATTCCAAGACGTCTTTTA